GATATTATTGAAGGGAAAAAAATAAATCAATTCAGATTTTAAAAGCAAGATGCTATATGAATTTCATAAAAATATATGTCAATATAGCCGATTTGATGCAAGCATCTTTAGAGGTTACAGAATTAGCCAGATTTTAAGGCTATTTGCAGCAGGTTTTCAGTAGCAGTTCATATTTCATTTTCGAGGTGCCATTTGGTATTTAATGAATATTCATAAGTTCTGGTCCCTTCTAAAACTAAAAAGAGGTTTTCTTGAGTCCTGTTCCTTTCCTCCTTAAAAGTTTAATTGAAAAAGGCTTGAGTCCTTTCAAGTACCTCCTATCAAATTCCTTCACTTGGACCAAGGTACCTCTTGGGTATTACTTTGACAGAATGAGGTTTGTTTAATGATCGTAGCATTAAAACCTCGTGCTCTGAAGGCATGCATTAGCACACTGGGGAACATGGCGTAAAAGCAAGAGGTGAAGCAGGGTTTCTTTCCTTCCTTCCTTTCTTTCAACAAATCACACATCAATAAGCAGTTACTTAGACATCTTTATTACTTTGTCAATGGACCATTTGCCCCAAAATTGTTACACCTTAGTCATTCTATGCCCAGTCTTGCTCCTGTTAATGGTGAGACATTGCAAGAATCTTCGTTTGTTTCAATGGTACAGGATATGACCATCAAAGAACAGTTCATCTTTCAAGGACTTCCTAGTCATTTCAAAGTATTGCTTCCTGGCAAATTCAAAGCCACAAATGCACACTGAAAGCAAGGTCCATTTTTCAGGTTTGCTCCCCAGATTATACTGGTACAAAATGAGTGTAAAAAACTTGCCAGTCAGAGCAACTTTTTATGTCCCCTCAAACTGGTGTAAACACCAACACCAGCTGTAAAGCCTACGCTGACATGGCCTTACCATTACATTGCTTTCTTGGTTGTACAGACCACTGTCATCTTTGTTCCCCCTTTTTATTGTCTTATTTTTCCTACCACTGCTAATTCCTATCAGGTGCCCTTAGATCTCGCTCAGTATTAGTCCTTCAAATTCTTTTGGTTCTGGCTCTGGGTCCAACACCATGAAAGTGACTTCTGACCTGCTGCTGCATAAGTCAACTTAACCAAACGCTCCACTCCGTGAACTCAAGGATCTTGTGTATAAAAAAAGTGTCCCAATTTCTTAATAGACCTTTCCATATACAACTCTTGCTAACTGGCTGCAAAACGCATTTCACAGGTTCTGAGGTACTCAGTAAGTACTCAGCAAATCATAGAACCACAGAAGCATTCAGGTTGGAAGGGACCTCAGCAGATTTCTAGCCCAACCTCTTGCTCAAAGCAGGGTCAGCTATGAGATCAGATCAGGTTTCTCTAGGTTTTATTTAGCTAGGGCTTGAAACCTTCCCAAGACAGAGACTGCGCAACATCTCTGAGCAACCTGTCCCAATGCCCAACTGTCCTCATGCGGAAGAAGTTTATCCTCATGTTCAGCCTCAACCTCTTGTTTCAACTCAAGTCTGGTGTCTCTCATACATCCCTATGAAGGGTCTGGATCCATCTTTTTGATAACACTGGGGGCCTGCTGCTAGTCCCCCCATCCCACCCCAGCAAGCTGCCTCTCCCCTAGGCTGAACAAGCCCAGCTCCCTGAATCCCCTGCTCACAGGGCAAGTGAGCATCGAGCATCGATGCAAGCGCCGAGCATCGTGGTGGCCCTCACTCGAACTTGCACTGGAGTGCAAGTTACAGCACTGGAGAACCAAGAACTGGAGTCTAAAAAGTGCAGAGTCAAGGGGCTGACTATCAAGACCACAGGTCCTGATCTTCAGCAAAGCCGCTCCCCAGCCAGCCAGTCCCAGGCTGACCAGGGTGCAAGGGGCTCAGCCTTCCCAGCTGCAGAACTTCGCGTTTGTCTTTGTTGAATTTTATAAGGTTTCTGTTGACACATTCCTCCAGCCTGTGTCTGGTGCCTACGCCTAGGTCCCTACGAACGGCAGCCTTGAGTCTACTGACTGTCACCCCCAATTTGGTGTCATCTGCAAATCTGATGAGAGTACACTCTGTCCCATGGCATCCTCAAGATCACTGTTAATATGAAGATTTTTTTCTTATTAGGTAAAACACTAGATTAAGCTTTTTTTTCTTAAACATCTGCAGCTGCTCTTTGTCAGGAGTAGTAAAAAGGTATAAAATCCCCACAAAGGCAAGGACACTTTGGGTTGCGTTTTTGCCCCCAACTCAATAAACTGTAATCAGCAACTAATAGTCCAAAGTAAAATGCCACACTTTTCAACACCTACGGTTAACAACTGCTAGATACGTTTGCCCAAGACTATTTTCCTGGCTTATGACCATGCCTTAGATTTTATCTTCAAATAAAGTTTAAATATCCTTTTCATGTCGGTTTCTTCAAGTTCTTTTCCATCGTATTTTTCCATATCGAAGTAGCCTGTAAAGTCACTTTAATTCCTGAGAAATTTTCAACAATCACATCACTTTTCCATAGCCATATCTGGAAACAGTTACAGTACCTTGGCTTAATTGTCACATTAGTTTCCACGCTCCTTTCATGCTCTACTTTTTTTGAGCCACAAATCCACTGTTCTATCCCCTTATTAGATTTCAAATAATCGGAGCCACAGCGACCAACAGCACTGGAAATATCCTCCCGAGTTATTGATTTCACTCATAATATTATCACAATATACTTTTATAAAATCCATACAAACATTGATCGTGTTTCTTCTTTTCTTTGGTAGTTACTGAACTGAAGATATTTTCTTTCGTGCAGACTTGCTTTCTAACACTCCTACTAATATTTTCCTTATACCTCTTTTGTGTAAAGTAAGAAAGATTGATCTTGACTCTTCTTTTTCATAAAGGTCTATAAAGTTCAAAGTTTTGAACATCTGCAATGAAACTACAAGGTTTCAATCTATGTTTATGTTGAAATGAAAATAACTTTTTCTTCCTTTCAACTTCATGCCACAACACCTTAATTCTAAAAACAGAGAATATGATAGTAAAACAGTACTAGAAAAATTTAAAAAATAGCTTCATTTTTTTTTTCTGGTAGTGCTCTGGATGCAGTCAGCTCTGTACATATGGGTGGAGACACAGACTACATTCCTATGGACTGCATTCAGCAGATGATGACTTAGAGGAAATGGGTACAATGGTTATGTACTCAATGTAACACTCAACACTTACCAAACCAATACAAACCACCCCTCACATACAAGTGTGTATGCGTATTCATGGCTACATAGTCAACAAATGTCAGTATTTTAGTTTGCCATGTTTGCAACCATTTGTGTATTATCAGAAAGGAAAGAATAGCAACAGGAATCAATGGAAAATTTGAAACACCACAATACACATACACAAACAGATACTGATTGAAACATGCATTAGTTAACAATACATTCCTATGAAGACTGAGATTTGTATGTGAAACTCAAATCTCTGCTTGATATTAAATGGCTGAACGGCCAATTCTCAGTTTTGTATACCACCACTTCAGAGAACAAATTAGTGTTCCACATTAAAATTTTTACAGATTAATTACTGCCTGGGATATGAGTAAAAATGCTATTTAACTCCCAAGTTACATCTGCGTTTATATTAATCCAGTTACTCTGCTAAACTTATGTCACTTCAAAGTGGTCAGCTAAAATAGAATGAATCATGTAATCATAGAATGGTTTGAGTTGGAAGGGACCTTAAAGATCCCCTAGTCCCAACCCCCCTGCCATGGGCAGGGACACCTCCCACTAGACCAGGTTGCTCAAGGCCCCATCCAGCCTGGCCTGGAACACTTCCAGGGATGGGGCATCCACAGCTTCCCTGGGCAACCTGTTTCAGTGTCTCGCCACCCTGACAGTAAAGAATTTCTTCCTTATATCTAATCTAAATCTGCCCTCTTTCAGTTTAAAACCAATGTCCCTTGTCCTGTCAGTACACTCCCTGATAAAGAATCCCTCCCCATTTTTCCTGGCCCCCTTTAGGTACCGGAAGGCTGCTGTAAGGTCTCCCCAGAGCCTTCTCTTTCCCAGGCTGAACAGCCTCAACTCTCTCAGCCTGTCTTACTACTACAGCAAACTGAATACGAGTTAAACAGTCAAGCAGATCAACAAAATCAGTATCGACTTCAAATATTTCCTATTTAGGAAAATAAAACACAGTGATGCTTTTTAATATATTCTTCCAAGACAAGACACCCAGCATTGAAGGTCTGGAGGTCCTGCGGGTATTTGGAGGACAAACCATGATAGAACAAATATTTTTTAGACTAGACAAGGAAAGTATGTGCAAGTGCAAAGCCACCTATCCAATAAAGGAAAGACTTCAAGAAAGAATGACTGTACTCAAGCTATGTTTGGGGCAGAAATCAGTTTTGTTGGCTGATTGATACTAGGAAATTACCAACTTTAAGGACCGTAAAACACTGGGATGGAGAGATGTAAAAATCTCCTCCATTGCAAATTTTCCAGAACAAAGTTAGACAAACATCTGTCAGAAATGAATTTGCTGTATTGATCCTGCTTCAGCCCTAGGGAGGGGCTGAGTTGGGCTTGCTTCCCATCCTACATCTTAGGGACTCTAAGTTTAATCACAAAAAAAAAAGGCAAAAAAGAATATGAACACAAGGTGAAACACCTCAATGAAAAAAAACTCATTTACATTTTTCCTCACAGGACATTTCTTAATGTTCGGGGTATGTTTTTTCCATATTTGGAATGAACTAGGTGTGGCCCTTACCCACATAGAGAGTAACTTCTTTCCTGAAGATATCTGAATAATCCTGAAATAATCTGAAATTAATCTTTTAGAGAGACGGTGAAATCACTTACCACATCCTATGAAAGCTGGTATATTCCCCCTGCTCTAAACCTTGCAACTCTTTAGTCATACAACCAACAAAAAGCCCTCAGTGCACAGTCACAATCTATTAACAACAAAGTAAAACATTTGCCACATTTTAAGTAAGTAAAATATTTCTGATAGTGCATACTTTACCAGTTATGTCATGCTGTTTGAATGACTCACTGTAGATTTGATACTGATTAGGGCAATGTTTCTTCAGCCATTTGCAGACATCCTGCTGGGTCCATAACGCCACAGGCTTGGTCAGCTTCACATTCCCGGACTAGAAACACAGAATGAAGAACAGAAATGACATTTAGTCAGCACACAAGTTTCAGAAAAATTAAACTGTGATGTCTATATATGATATTAAAATAATAAATGCAAGATCAGAGCTGCTCTGACTGGCGGATAGCCAATAATCACCAGCATGTTACATAAGACCCAGCTTTTCAAATACATCATGCAGGAATCACACACAGTGAAAGGTCCTTTGCATTCTGCATTGCATACACGTCCTTCCATCACAGAAACATATTGCACCATGTCTTGAGTAACAGTTTAAAAAGTGACCAGCTCCAACTGCACCCAAAGTATAATAGTTGCAGACTTCGAAGCCTTCAAATTCACAAGAGGGATGTACATTTGTGTCGCAGTTTGGATATGACCATGGAAGACCAGGAGCATCCTCGGGCCAGGCATGTTCCTCAGCCACAATCAGAGAAGATATTGCAACAAAGCCCTTTAGTGCAAACAAGCTGGTTCTGCCTGGGAAAAGGAGACTACACAACAATGGAGGTAGAGCTGGTGATAACGGTTCATACTGAGTATTTCAGCTGGCATCATTCCTAGTCTGAGTGATGTTTACACAAGCAGTTTTAGTTTTTCTGCTTCCTTTTACCTTTAACCCTCCTAGAATCACCATTATGTGAAATGAGTAGGACTCCTGCTTAAAACAGTCAATTCTTTATAAATAAATAAATAAATACTTCAATACTGTTCAATGCTTTCCTAAAGAATCAGTTTTATAATAGATTATCTGAACCTATTATCAGTTTAAATATAAAACATTCATAAATGAAGTCAATTGCATTATCATATGTATAAAGTCACATTTCATTTCAAACAATTCACCTTTGCATATACACTTTTTTTAACCATATAAAAATGCTGAGTTCTAGATGACCTGAACTGCTGGGATTTAAAGCCTCTTGTCAAAGTAAGCAAAACACCAAAAAAAGAAAATATATTAAAAGTGATTTCATCTTTATTTTGCAACACAGTCTGCCCAGGAGACTAAGAAAATCCTAAATAGATGGGCGGTTATTACCAACGATAAATGTTTAACATTGGACATTGCTGATGTAAGTGGGTATGAACACCGAGGTATCGATTTACTTCATGATTCTGTCAAAGAACTGAGTCAACATAATAAAATCATAGTATCTTTGTTCCCACGCTGTGGATGCAGAATACCTGTCCTCCAGCTCCTTGGTGGTGTAGAAGGTTCAAGAGAAGTTTTTCTGCACAAATTTGAGGTGAAGGAGAATGTCATCTCAACCATTCTTCTCCATGAGGCCTCATGGCAGATTCCCTTGACATTGCCAGCCAGGGTTTATCCCAGCATTTATGCAGATGTACTTTGTCAGACAGACCTTTTCGATGTTGCTTTGAAATTTTTCATTACTAGAAGCCCAAAAGACGAAAGCACTTTTAAGCTAGTGCTTTGGATGTCCTATTAAGTTCATAAAGTACATCATGCAAAGATATTAAGTTAGGGCTAGGGAATGTGACAGAGCTAAAATTCCAAGAGGCAAACATGTGTTGAATGTCTCATGTCCAATTTTCCCTATCTCTTTTTCATGGCCTAGGTAGAAGTTAAATAAACAGCAGGGAAATTATAGTTGAATATATAATACAATGCACATCCCTTAGCTCAGCCTTTTTTGTTCTGAAGAAAAATACAGTCACCAGGAACATGAATCCTATTTCAAACACACAAATAGGCACCATCCACATTTAGAGATATCACAATAATGCACAAAACCACCCCAAATAATTGATTCTCATCTTTTGCTGCCACCCACAAACCTGCTGCAGGCAGAAGTCTAACTGACAGATCCCGTGTCCACAAAAAAATGAAACTTCCAGAGGTGTTGACAGTGCCCTATAACCAGGACAGCACTTGCTCTACAACTATCCTTTCTGAGAAGCACATCAGTGTTCTACATACAGAAACCTGCTCTGGACAGTGCTGCGGTCTGGAGAAGGGGCAATGTCTGTAGAGAGAGCGAGTGCTCTGTAACTGTTCCTCATGCAACTAGGAAGATCAAAGCCTCCTCTTTGAACTTCTCTAGCCTACTTGTTACTGCTATTTGAGTCGAGGAAGAAACTGAATTTCAATGAAGAGCCCAATATTATGGTATCAGTTAGCTGATTTTTATTACACGCCTATATAGATGTGTGTCCTTCACAAATACATCAAAGAAAAAAACCAAGTAAAAATAGCCATATAACAGTCTCTCTGATTCCATAGAAATCCCTGAACAACAGGGTCAAGACTTCAATGTGTATCTTCAAATTTAAGCAGTAACTCATATAAAGATATCTCTTAGGCACTGGAATTTTTGAAGACTAGAAGAAAGTCTGTCAGCTCTTGAAAAATAAATTGTTAATGGCTTTACTTGTACATCATAAAAATACTAAAATTAAAAATATTTGTATACAAATATACATAGCTAGCTATAGATTTACAAGCGATTTATTCCTAGCTGAAAGTACACATGTAGTGCCAATGTTTGTTTTAACTAAGAGGTTGCTTTTTTCAGTTCAACAACTATTCCCCTTATAAAAGGTTTAAGCACCATCATGTTAAACATCTGAGAACAAGTTTATCAGCAATTACAGTACAAATTTAACATTTCCCTCTGTGCCTGTAGAACTGAATGACAGTTTCAAAATGTAGCTATTATGCTAGGCAACATACAGATGCCTGCACAGCAAACATACATGCTGATTTTTTACTGTCCCATGTTCAGAATTATGACTGAAACATGTTTGACTTAAACCTATAACTGCAGTCCAAAGAGGACGTTATTACATTGACACCATCAAGCGTTATGTTTAATTTTCCAATTCATAAGGGCTTGATGAGTTAGAGGAATACAGGGTTTTTAAAGCAATGGTTATAAAAAGTATATTGTTGTCACTTTCATTTTTGGAACATCATACCCAAAATATTTTCCAACCAGATGCTCTAAATGAAAGGCTATTAAAAAAATATGCTTCCCTCCCACAAAATTCATTTGTCAGTTTCTTCTCTGCTCAAAAGCTACAACTTATACTAAAAAAAATTCCAGTAAACCAAGGAAAATTACCCTTACCGTAAATATACCTATCAAATGAGTCCCCTACCACTACCTATATATAAACTACCTAGACAAGTGAAAAACATCCTATGTTTTACTTTATTCCTGTTTATCAGCTCAGTCAAACAATAGGCCTAAACAGATTAAAATAAAATAATATATTGAAAAAAAAATCTTTGGTCCAACCTTCCCTTTAATTTCCCTGACATAAACTCATCCTAAAATCACCCTTTGCTGGCAACACTTTAATAGTTTTAATCCTACCAAACGCTATGCCAACTCATGTGTCAGATGTAGATCTAATGAGAATAAACATCTTCAGTATTCTGATCGTTTCTTGTATATTTGAAGGAAAACCCGTTTCTTCAGGATTTTGTGTCAAACTCTTTCTTCTAAATTGCGTAACCCCAGTTTTTGGTATGAGTATCTCAAACTATAAAAATTACTTCCAAGAAGAAAAAAAATGAGCATATTTAATACGTGACACCATTTCATGCTCTCTGTCCTATGCTGCAGAGAAGACAGTATTTAAAATCACCAACTCAAGAATAAATAAATAAAAAAATCAAACTTACAGCCTGTGCACTACCAGAGAGTGTATTCCAGCGTTCAGAATAGCATTAGCAACCAAGCCCCACTCCTCCTAAGCAATGACATACAAGTTATCTCTTCAGCCTTGCAGGTGCAGTTTACCAAGCCTGCCAATTTTGAAGGTCAATTTACTCACCAGAATTCCTTTGCCTTTATTTGTTGTATTTTACTCCAGAAAAGAAAGAAAGGCTTCCATGTTTTTGAGTGACGGAGGATTCAATCTCATTATTAAAACTATTTTACATACTATGAGCAAAGTTACTCACAAGAGCTTCTCCAACACAAGCATTTTGTGCATTTACCAATCTGCTCAGCTTACAACATCCACGGGTTGTGGCCATCCAGGTCCTCCATCAAACAGGGCTGCAGGTCTGCTGGAAGGAGGCTGCCTGATACCATTTGTAACATCCAATTTGCCAACATACTGATCCTGACATATAAGCAAAGTCAATGCACATTTACATTCAAATTTATCCAAAGTCAGACCCTACAGTTTCTGCCTAAAAATAGGCTTTCATGAAACAGAGATGGATGAAAGAGGCACTGCTCAAAGCATTAAGACAGATTCTCTCCAACATACATCACAAGAGACTCTGCTCTGGAGTTTACAATTTAACTAGAAAATGACAAAGCAGGACCGATCCTGTTATACGTCCTGTGGTCAGAGGACGTAACCAAGGCAAGGCTGCAAGGAGAAGGAACATCATTTATTAGACCAGCAGCGTGGAGCTCTGCCAGCTGTGTTTCAGACATGAAGAAATGTTCACACGGAGTAGATGCGGAGCACAACTGCTCAATGTCGAACCATTACCTTAACCATGTTAGGCAGTTTGAGAGAAAAGGGGCTGATAGCTGTGAGGGGAGGTATGGGAAAAGCAAAGGAAAGAAGTGATAAGGTCACTGCCATCTAGTAGGAAGAGAGAGACTGAGATGGGTGGCTGTCACCCCTAGAATAATGCAGAGTCAGCTGGGGCAGGAAGCGTTAAAATGCGTCAGGAAACCATTGATGTGCCTGTTATCAGAGAGAGATACCGGGAGGAAAGAAATGGGATCACTTCATGCATGAAGTTGAGAAGGAAATATTTGTTAAATCAAAACGTAATGTCTTCTGCAAGCAATCTCTAAAGGGCCAATGATATAATTAAAAATCAGAAAAATAAAGTGTTATGTTTATCTGATATAGATACATATAGCAGAGAACTTAAGCTCCAAAAGCTATCTAAGTTATTGTCAAATCTTTCAGGCTGCTCCAGAAGCAAAACTAACAGCATCATCTTCCTCGATTACGACAAGAAGCAGCAAGAACAGCAATGCTCAGTAAGAA